CCATAGATACCAAAAGTTGCATCTAAATAAAGTCTTTTCAGTAGTAGAAAAAGGATGAAGGTGACATCTGCCCAGGATGTTTGGCTATTGTTTTTCTTGTTGCGGAATGTCACAAGGACATATGTCTGCTTTAAATGATTTAGTAACTTTGACAACTGCTTTTCTAAATTTAGAGAAGTATGTTGCAATACAGAGATGTTAGTTTTTCTAAGACTCAGGGGTTTTTTTCCTGTAAAATTATATTTTTAAAATGTTCTAATTATAGTAATTACCCAAAAGACCTATGAAAGTAAGATATTTTGGAGATTTTTATAGTATTCTATTCAGGGGGCTTTTTATTTACCCTTTTTTAATTTACACTTTTTTTTAGGGTCATTTAAATATAATTCTCTAAGCCACTTCTTAAATTGTTCTGATGCATTAATTAGTTTTTCAGTAGCTCCTGAATTTGTTTTTTGTACCTAGTTTTGACCCAAGCTGGGATGTCAGTTTCAGAGAACTGAAGGGAAGTTTAGGTGTCATGCTTTCTTCTAGTATGTGGTCTTTAAAAACCATATTATTTATTTTATTAAAAAATAAAAAACTGAAGATAAAAATGTACGTGGACAAATAACTCTGCTTCCTCTTCCAGCAGTTTCTGAAAAACTGTTTACTCTTACTGAGAACCTGAAATCAGCTCAAGGTAGATGTAGAAAAATTGAGCCTGAATTTGACCACAAGGACTAATAATGTCAAAAATAAGTAAGGAATCTTCAACTAATGGAAGTCCTGAAGTAACCCTGATTTTGTATCGGTCATTACTAGTACTAGGTGTAATGTTTTCATCAAAGGAATACACCATGCTACTGTAAGAGTAACTAAACAAAAGTCTGCCGTCTGCGTCTAACCTATTGATGATTTGTTTTTACAGAGAGGTAACAGTAACCGAATAAATGGAGCATGCCATAATGTGCTGTGATTCAACTAAGTGACCTGTAATTACTGTTGTGTTCTTTAAGTAAACAACTTCGAAAATACATGCTGGAGATATTCTGGCATGTTTACCTTCTGTAATATTCAACCAGTTTTAATAGTAAAATTTTGTACTAAGTTAGATTACCTTCATGTTAGATAGAAGTTCTAGAAATGCATTGCCAGTAACCTGGGAAATTATTATGTGACTAATATCAAAACTAGACATGGCAGAAAGGTATTTATGCACTGATGGTGTAGAGGATGTAATATTTTGCTGTAAGATTAGAAGTGTAGTCATCCTAAATCCTGTCAAATTTTGAGCAGATGTACGTAGTTTCTATAGTTTCACTTTTCTCCGCAAGGTGGTGATATCCATCCCTTAATGTTTTTGTTGTTCAAAGCTTTTAGGGAGTTGTAACATTTTGTATTAAATTACCTATGTGCAAATGCTCTTGTATGATTGTTTTTGAGACGAGAGAAATTGTGCATGTAGCCTTAAAAAAATCAGGGAGTAATGCAAATCAGACTGTAGAAATTTCTGTGTTTATTCAGTTAAGTAATCACTATGGGAAACTTAAATAGAATGTGAGCTATTTCTTCCATTTTCCACTGGCTTTGGAAGTGCATAATTATTATTGGAAGCAAGACCTAACTCACTAAATCACTAACAGAAGTAATTATAGTTATTTACCTTTAACAGCTTACTTTCTAAAGGTAGAGCAAAAGAATGAGATTTCAGATCTTCACTTGTGGAAAAATGTAAAACATTGTTCCTAATATTCACCGTCAGTTCATGACTACCTCAATGTAATTGCTTTCCAAGCAAAATAGCATAGCTTGGGTGAAAAGAATGGTATTGAATTGGTAATTTGTCCTCAGGCTCTTCTCAGTTCTGTGAACACTCTCCAGATTATTTGGTTGAGGGTTGCATATCTGGAATTGCTCTGTATTTCTGCACTAACCTCAAGGCCTGACTTCTTCCTTTACTTTTTTTTTTTTTTTCTTTTCAGTGAAATATACATTGTGTCATAAGCTTTCATTGGTCCACATCTTTTGCATTTAGTAGAAGGGAAATCCAGACATCTGTCCTCATCCTAATTTGGGCACATTTTAATTTCTTTTGATTTGCATGGTATACTTAGCTCAAGAAATGGACAACCTGAGAATCAGGCCTCTTGCCTAGGTCCAGCTGTGAAGCTAAATTGATCTTAAGTTAATGGACTGAAAAATACTGTTTTTCAGTGGGAGAGAAAACTTATGATGTATGTAGCATGAGGAATTTTTAGAAACTGAGCTTTTTATATTAAACTGATATTTTGCTATTCCAGTTCATTATGCTGGACACAGATCTGTGTTGAAATTTAAACTGGTTCAGCTTCAGCAAAAATAGCTGCCCTACAGTACTCAAGTTGTTAAAGCATTGGTCTTAAGAACTTAGTTTAGTTCTACCTCTTGAGAAAGATTCTGAACACACTGCATCCAACAGATTAGGCAAAAAACCCAAGTTGTTGTAGGTTGGGGTTCTCAGCTTATTCTCACTTAATTATTTTCCTGTTCTGTTGCTGCAAGAAAACAAAGCATGGCTGCCTTTGTCCAGTTGAAAACCTTTCTGAAGAGAGAGGCTGGGGACAGCACTGAACTTTGACTTGAGATTTCATAGTCCCAAACTCAAGCTTTTTCTAGGCTGTACCATCTTGAAAATCTAGAGCTAAATAAGCCTTGTGAAGTTACATACTTCTTTCATGTTATTATTTTCAACTATACAAATATATTTTTCTCTGATTGTAACTTTTAATAATGGCTGCAACATGTACTGTTCTGTAGGGTTGTAGTTGATGCACCTTTGAAGAATTTTTTATTTCTTGTTTTCATTGAGTTTGTTGCCCAGAACTCTTAATGATGATAATTGTTGTTAAGCACATATTATTAACAATGTTAATGCCATGTACTGTATAATGTACTTAAGTTCATTACACAGTAGAAAGAATAACAATGGAGGCCTATGAATATGAGATCTGTAAGCACTAATGTGTTGATGAAACCTACACTCTATCTTGCAGCTGTTTCAAGGTGACATTGCTGACCTCTACTTTTATATTATCTTTCCCAAGTAGATAGCATTAGGTAATACTCAAATTCAAAATGAGTTAATGTGTGGCCCAGCTGTTGCAAAGACTTCACAGGCACATTTGTCTGTTCCGGTATGGAATTGACTGAGTGTGGTGCAGGAATGTATAATTAGGGAAACATAATTAAATAGGCTGCTGACAGAAAAGTATGTTTGGCATCTCAATTGCTGACCTCCTCTGACATTGTTCTGAAGTTCTCATACAAAGATAGTAAAGGGGTTTATCTAGATTTATTAGTTAACACTCTGACATACTATGCTTTTGTATTATGCTTTTTTTAATGCTTTTGCACAGCAGTGACAAACGTTTTCAACTTTCTGATGTGTTTGTGGCCACTGTTGGCAATTTATTTGTAATGCTTATTAAGGTACCCCCAGTAGAAGAAGAAAATGCTTGTTCATACTAATTTGAAAGAACAAAGCATGACATAGAAACAATTCCTCAACAAACAAACCAAATCTGCATCTCAAACACACCGGGATTTTGCAGAATAATTTTATAAATACATGTTAGTTAAAAATCTTATAGTTCCTGAAAAAATATAAATTAATGGAAACAAAATGTAAGTATACACAGGCAATTTCTTTGCCTGAATGTTAAATCCTCATTTCCTTTAAATGGCTTCAGTTTCTCTGTGAAAGTGTTTCTGTAGTTGTTTTTGTTGTTATTCACAGTGCCCTGAACCTACTTTCACATTGTTATTTTTTTCTATTTCTCCTGGAAATATTTAGAATACTGTATGTAAACAAAATTATTCTGGGAGGACTTTGAAATACAACAAAACCAGTATTGGTCCTATGAATCATCTTCAGGAGTAGCTGTTAAACCTAAGAAAAATCTGCATTTCTGCTCTTAGAAAGAGGCAGAGGTGAAGTGCCTGAGTCTCATCTTGGGCCTTAAAACTATGGCTTTTATTTGTGGGATAAGGGAAAACAGTGCCCAAGTGTTAGAGCTGTATAACCAGTAACAGTCCCCTTAGACCTATTTATTTTGTGTTTTAATCACTTGGTGTTAACAAGCTTGGCTTTCTGTGAATAATGCAGTAAAACGGAGTCTGGGTTCTCTAATCAAGTACTGCACTTTTTTGCCTGACATGGCTTTTCAGTGACATGGTGCTTGCCGCAGCATCTGGCTACTCAATGGTTTGGATATTCTACAACCTTGACCTCTTGAGTTTTTCCTGCAGTTGGAATTAATAAACAAAGAGGGAATGGTCTGTCTTTTTAACACTGACTTGACTTACCCACACAACAGTTGTTTTTTAAATATACCTGACTATATAGAATATTTATAACCCTATTTAGTGCTAATGCTTTATTTCATTTTTCTTAGCCTACCCATGCAACTCAACAGCTTGCTAGTTACTTTAGAAACAGTTTTATGTGAACTATGATCTTAAAAGATGAAAGGCAGCAGAGCTTAGTGCTGATAATATGGCCCAAAAAGCTAAGGTAATCTAGGGTTCCGAAACCCCTTTTCCTTTTCAATAACGTTATGAACTTCTGGTCAGTGTGCTAAGAGAGCCAAAATAAGGTGATTTAATATCTTCATAAAGTTGTTCTTTAATTTTAAGTGAGAAAAATAGCTTAGTTTTGAAGTGTTTCTAAGTGAGGAGCAGGCAGAATATTAATGAACTGAGAAATCTTCAGGCTATTCTGTGGGCATCAGGCAGAAAAATGTTTTACTTCATCTTTTTTTTTTGTCTAGCACTGTTATTGTATTAGTAGCAGTGTGATGATTATTGTTCATAAGGATGATCTTGAGCAAGGTTGATCTTGACCTCTAAGGAGAGGAGGCTGCTGACAAAATTGGGTGTATTTCAAAGCTTTGTTCCATTTGTATTCTATAAACTTTTTGTGACAGTAGGTAAATGAAGTATCATGACAGCAGCTCTGTACTACATTTTCTTTCTTGCAGGATATCTTGAATAATCTTGATTCATGTGATCTTGAGGATGATGATCTCATGCTTGATGTGGACCTACCTGAGGACCCACCTCATGATAAGGGTTAGTAAATTAGCCAAGCAATCTTATTGAGAAACTGCATTATGGGCTTAAAGAGATTTTTGAGTTGTGTTGTTCTGACTTCTGCTTTAATAAGCTGATGTGCTTTTCAAATTGTTTTTTTCTTTAAGTAACAAACTCTCTCTTTTCTGAAATGCAGGAAGTATGATATTTATGTTCCCCCAAATACAACTTTTGCATTTGAAGAATTTTCAATTTAGACATTTACTGCCTTTTATAAAAATGCAACCTTGTTATACAGTTTCTTCAAATTATTTTAGTAGAATAAATTTTTAGCTTAAAGTTACTCCTTCAGTCTTATGCTGCAGCTAATGTTGGGACAACATTTTTTCAATTTTGGTGAATGATAATACAATTATTTTTGAGGCCATTATTTGTTTTCTTCTATAAAATGGCAATATTTTCTAATACATTTTATATAGTTCAGGTAACAGAGGCCTTAAGGTTTAAGATGTGGTTTTTCAAGAAGTCTTTTATGCACTGTTGTTGTCAGTGAGAATGCTGGCAAATATTTCACAGGCAGAGAATTGTGGTATCTAGATGCCATTAAAATAACACAGATCCAGACTAGAATGAACTAGGCAAGGCAAATTATTGCCACCACATTTTCTCAAATCCTGGACTGGAAGAGCTTGGGGCATTTATTTTTGGTCAGTTTTGAACTACTCATAGGAATTGTGACTGTCATGTGAAGATGGGTATTAGCTTTACCTCAAAGTTCAGTGGGAGTCAGCTAATATGTGGAGCACTGTGGTATCCCACCCTGTACCAAAAGGCTTATCTTGTTTGGTGTCCTGGTTAGCTACCTGCTGA